AGATTCAAGCCAAGAAATGAGGTGCAATAATCAATAGAACTCGACAAAATAAAACCCCAAACCAAGCCTTCAAACCTCAAATCAATTCATATTCAATCCCAGATGAACCAGAAAGTATTTTAGAACTTGAAAATTTCATAAATCAAAAAAAATCAATGGAACAGTGAAAACTTCAACCGTTTCTTTTTCTGGATTTTTCTATCTCTGATCCTCTGCCTTGAATAGCAAGGAAAAGTGCCTTTATAGGCAGGGAAATAGGGCAACAATAGGAAGCTCAGATTTGCATTTTTAGCCCTTTTTGAATTTTGGTTTTTGCTACTTAATCCTTAGCTAATTTTCCTTTTTTCTGATCTAACCTTAATGTAATTATCAAATTATCACAACATCCCCCAGTCCCACTTCCTAGAAGTTTTTGAATTCTGTTACTCAAGATTCCCTTCCCTAATTTCCTAAATTACCCTTTTAGCTACTGTTATTTACCCTCCCAACCCAATCCAACAATGGGTCAGGCCAAACCGAACAACAAGAAATCTAAGGTTGTTGATGGGACGGGTCACAATAAATCGAGGGCCCAAGAAATTCACCCAGCCCATGAATATTCTGAGACCCAAAACTCTGACCCCAAACAAATTATCATTTAAACGATGGCCCCAAAAGAGTCCAATCAATTTTAATACTAACAAATCAAATTAATTCTATCCCTTTAACAAAATTAATTAAAGTTAACTCATGGCTATGAATTCAAACAAAAACAAAAGGAAAAATGAAAAGAAAAAGGCGAAATGAAGATGGAGGAGAAACACCAGAAAAAGAGTTAAATAATGAAACTAACGAGGAAGACGACGGAGAAGAGACGGAAAGAATACCTCTAAGGTCGCCCGGACAAAGCTTGATGAACTCTACGACTTCGATTTGATTCGAAACAAGCATTAACCATATGTTCTCAAAGAAAACAAACATCAATACCCGTTTCAAACCCTATCGTTCAAGGGAATTTGAAGGCTTGACGGATTCTTTTCTTCTTTGTTTTCAAATTCAAAACTGGACTGATTTGGTGAGGACTTGGGAAGAAATGGTGGTGGATTAGGGTTGAGGGAAGGGCGATGGTTGCATGGATGAAATTTGGGTTGTGTTCGAGCTCCACCGCCGGCCGGAAATGGCGAAGGGATGAAAGGCGGCGTTAGAGTTTGGCAAGGAGATGAGAGACAGAGGTGATGAACAGAAGGGGGTGAGGGGGGTAGGGTTTATTCGGACACTTAAATACATATGAAGCTTCAGTTCTGAGCCATTTGATCAAGGGGAGATCAACGGCTCAGATTCCACAATCCAAAACGACGTCGTTTTGAGGGGGATGGACCGGGTATTAGGGGCGGGTTTTGGGCTGGACCGAACGTGCTTGGGGATGGAAATTATTTGGGCTGGGGTTTGGGAATTAAACATGGCCCAAATCAGAATTTCTCCTCTTGTTTCAATTTCCTTTTTAATTCTTTTCTCTTTTAAATTCTTCCTTTCTTTCTCTTTTTTTTTCTCAAAATTAAACAAGAAACCCTAAATTAAAATTAAACATAAAATTGACCTACCAAAGTGAACTAATTAAATCCAAGTGATAATTACTACAAGTAATTACAAAACTAATTAAAGGAAAAACTACCAAAGTTCAAAATTAGAATTAAAAGTGCAACGATAACTATTTTGTGATTTTTTCACCTTTATAAAACACTGAATTAATAATTAATTCAAGAATGCAAAATTAGATCCTACATGTAAATGCAGTGTATTTTTGTATTTTTCATTAATTAAATAAAATAAACATGCCTAGGCAATATGCAAACAATTAACAGAAAATGCCTCAAAAATTCACAAAATTGCAAACAATGGAAAAATTATTTTATTTTGAATTTATGAGAGTAATTCATATAGGGCAAAAATCACGTGCTCACACTGGGTTTTTTGTTGTTGTTATTGTTGCTCCATTTCAATTATCTATGAAAAGGGTCAAAATTGCCCCTCTACTATTGTTTTTTGGTTGCTTGTGCCACCTGTTGCACTTTTCGGTCATTCTCGTCCCTACTGTTAACGAAGTTTGCAAAATTACCCCTAACCCTAACGTTCATCCATTGTGGCAGTTGACCCCATCAATTTTATCCATGTCAGCTTCCATGTCAGCTGCCATGTCATCGACCCGCACCAAATTAAAATCCTAACATAAACGACCCCCACTCCTCACCTCTCCACCCTTTCTCTCATCTTCTCTCCCTCACCTCATACCAAAATCGCCGGAAACCATGGCATTTGTCATCACTAAAATCGCCGGAAGTTCATACATATTTGAGAGACCAAAAAATTTGTCATCACTAAAATGCAGTTTATGTTACTAACACAAACCTAGCAAGGCATCGAAACTTGACATCATTATGATTTGAACTTTAACACCATAAGTATCTTCCCAATTCAACAAAGTACAGATTCTAGCACTATTTTGCAGTCANTGCCGGAAAATTTTCAGCGGGCAGAACTAACCTCTACGGTACTGGCTCCTTTCTTCGTCTCCTTTCTCCTTCCATTTTCTCTTTCTCTATCTCTCACTCATCGATTGCAGTGATTCTTTTCTCTTCAATTTTAATTTCAATGCTATTTATTTCTATTTTCCTCGAATTCTCAAATTATTAAATTTTTCGTTCATCGATTTGGTTTCTTAATCTTGGAATCTCTACCCAATCCCATTACATCACCCACCCTCAATCACCTGAGAATATTCTTCTAATCTCTTCTTCCCACATAAAAATACTCATTTGATTGAATTCTTTAGCCGATCTCTCACTACCACCTCTTTCCAATCCCATTCAGAAAAAATAAGAAGTTATAGTCACCGCCAAAAGAGTCACTCTGATATCGGGGTTTGTTCTTTCTTTTGGTTTGTTCTTCATTTTATTCTGTTTGGTTCTTCATTGTTTTGCTGTGGATGAGAATGTAAAAAAAATGGAGGAGATACGGTGGGGGGTTTATGTGAAGAAGGTGGGTTTGTCAATTAATGGTGGTGTTAATGGTGGCTGGTTAGTACCGATTTGGGAGATGTATTTGAAAGGAGACTAAAATCACCATACAATGGATTTGGAAAAGCTTGAAGAATACCTAATGGGTTTGTCATGTTCTTCAGAAGTTGTTGAAGTTCATTTTATGTTACTTGAATATAACGTTGAGGCTGAAAATTGTTGATTAAATTCTGGTTTTGAAGCTATTTTGTGGTGAAATATTGAGGCTTTTGGGTGGTGAAGCTGCCGATGGAAGAAGAAATCGAAGGGGAAGAGAGGTATTGGAGGTGGTGAGGTTAATTATGTGGCATTTTCAACTGAGGGGTCCTAATGCTCTGATGGACAATTTCAATATGTGCAATTAGTTCAAAATCCCTTCAATTTTATTTGAGGATTAAATTACTTCCCATGCTGACATGGCATTTTATTTGGTGGGACCTGCTGACTTGGCTGTTGACATGGATAAAATATTAGAGGGGTCAGTTGCCACAGTGGAGGGACGTTAGAGTTAGGGATAATTTTGCAAACTTTATTAACGGTAGGGACGAGAATGACCGAAAAATGTAACGGGTGGCACAAGCAACCAATAAACAATAGTAAAGGGGCAATTTTGACCCTTTTACCCTTAAAAACAAAACAATAAGAGATTGAACAACACTTATTTTACTATCCTCTGTTGCAGCCAAAGGTCGTTGGCTGGCCACCAGATATCTAGTCGTCGCTGCTGAAAGCCGAAACCGGCGATCCCCCTCTCCCTCTTTTTCTTCTATCATTTTTTTACAAATTATATCCAAAAGGAAATTTTAGAATTGAGTGTATTTCTTAGATTTTAGTATATTTTATTTTTTGTGGCCGAATTAAATACAACAAAATACACATTATGGCTGGATTTTTGTTCGTCTGCCCGGGTTTTGATTGGTACATTGTGATAGTGTATTCTCAGATCTGGCCGGATTTTTGTTGGTCTTCATTTCTTAGTTTTAATATAATGTATATGGAGTTTTGATATGCCAGAGACGCCATCTCCGGCCAAATTTCTTCTCTTCTTTGCAATTGAGTCACATACAATGATATAAATACATTGTATTTTGTACAAATACATTCAAATTTGAGTGTTTTCTATATTTTTCAGTGCAAATACAGGTTTTTTGTATTTTTGCTTGTATTTATGTATTCCGAAGGTTATTTTTTGTAGTAGATCCTTGTATTTTTTTGGATTTTTGTTGTTTGAATACAGCCTAAATACAGTAAATTGACAATTTAAAAGCATTACGAATGAATACAAAGAATTGAATACAGTCGAATATCACTGTTTTGTGATTTTGTCGTTTTAATACAATCTAATTGAATACAATGTAAAGTAGTTAAGAATGAATATAGCCGAATTAAATACAGTGAATACAGTCGAATTGAATAGAGCGATATACATCCTATTTCTTGATTTTTTGTTGTTTGAATACAACTGAATTCAATACAGTAAAATTAAATACAATATAAAATATATAAGAATGAATACACCCGAATTAAATACAGAGTATACAACCGAATTAAATACAGCGACATACATCCCATGGCAAACAATTAGTAGCTACGGAATGTATTCATCCTCCAAACAATAGTCATTTGTGAAAGTTCCCCATTTAAAATCAAAGATAAAATTCTCTCTCCATTATTCTTTGACAATAAAAAAATAAACTTTAAGCTACACGCTAGGTAATTTATCTTATCTACTTTAGCAGTAGTGCAAGAGTAACTCAGTATCTATGCTAGTAGAAGGTAGCAAGTACCAATAGTTGAAGTCCACACATAAGTTGGTTCCGACACCACCATAATCAATGAAAAGGAAAGAAACTTTAAACTACTTTAAAATGTCAAGTCATGTGTGGAAAACATTAAGATACAAGTTTATATTACAAATATACGGGAGTTTTGCATAATCAACTTATTTTTCAATGTTACAGGAGCAAAAGAAAAGAAAAGACAAACATGTAAACAACTACATTTAACTGATTCACACCCTTAAGTTTCAGATAGAATGTACGGAACAAAACTGCCACTAAATATGAGATGGTCCCTCAAATAGTTGACCTTTTTGGAAAGCATTTTTCAAATTCTTCCAGAAATGAACAACACATCTGAAGTTCACATGTGAGGTGAAAAATGGTCACTACTTACTTACAATGCGAAGTATTACACTACTTGCTCATCTCCAGCTTTCATTTTTCAAATGAACATCTTGACAATTCAAACCATGTACACATTTCTTTTTTCTGTGGTTTGTCAAAAATCGTGCAACACTCTTCAATACAAATTCAATGAATTAATTTATGAAGTATGCATTTAGCAGAGCCAATCATTCCATTTAGTGGATCTTCATCTTGGTATTGATCTCTTTAAAGCGAGGTTTCAAACAACTTCACCAGTCATTCCCTTTTACCCTCTTGAATATCATCTTCTACATCTGAACTGTCGCTACCTTCCTTCCTATCCATTTTGATAAGACTGATGTCACCTTTTGGAGTTTCTTTGCATAAGGATTCAGTTTCTTCGTCGTCCTCTTCACCCCTCACATCAGAGTAGGCATAACTAGAATGAAAACTTCGTGTGTCAGTCAAAAGCAATAAATGGTAAAGGTTGAAGGGTATAAAAATCCTGAAAACTGAATCTTAAAAACACTCTAAAACATTTCGCACCTAGCTAAAATGTCTGACTGTAATTTGAGAAAAGAAATTTTCGTCCTTCCAACAACATGCAAAACTAGCTACACTGTATTGCTACCCTGATGAATTGCCACAGTTTAAAAGACTAGTAAATTTTGAGAAATGGTAAGGTTAAGAGATTGGTAACAGTTGGAAGATCCAAAATCGATATCGTGTCAGGAAAAACATGGAGCAGTTGTGAGCTGTTGGATATAGGTGTTGAAGACATAATTAAGTACTCTCTAACAGCTTAAGCGTTCAGATGAGATGGTCACACACTTTAGCATGGTACCAGAGCAGGCAGAGGTCCTGGGTTCGAGTGTCACCGCCACCCAATATCAAAAAGAATTTCCACGTGCTTGGCTCATCAAAAAGAATCAAGCCCGCACGTGAGGGAGTGTGTCAAAGACATAATTAAGCAAATAAAAGTGTGTTCTCTCTAACAGCTTAAGCTTTTAGATGAGATGGTCACACACTTCAACAATAGGATGCATTCTCTTTTTCAAAATAACTTGTATGTTGCATTCAATCTTTCAGGCAATAAATATCTAACCATATTTTCTCTTCCTTCACCAAATGCTTTACTTGATTATGCAAGATAAAAGACCAAAGGCTACTTATGATTGTTCCAGAACACCTACCGTTGTGAGCTCTGAGATGGTGCCCATAGGTAGCAGATGACACACAGCAGTCCAAATGCAAGAATATCCCAGAAAGCAGTGATGATCCAACCTCCCTGCCACCTCTCATTGAAGGGATCTGTTGCTTTGAAGTAAACCTGCAGGAAAGGAATTAGATGAAGTAAGATTTTGCAGGTTGCAAGAATCCCTACAACATTCATCCAGAATTAAAGAGAAGGCCGTCAACATTCAGCATATTATTCAGAATACTTGGATATGATGATGGGGAAAAATGAAAGAGAATATAACAACCAAATGGTGGTAACAGAAGTAAAGCTTCTTCTAAAACGAATTCTGTCTCCCAGGCGATTACTGGTGCCATAGAACAAACAAATCGGTACTTCTTTTCTATTGATACAGTAAATCCGAACACATAAAGCCCGCATTTCTCCCGTTGCCAGCAGTGGCTTTTACACGTGGAGAATCAAACCCCCAATCTCAGGGTTGTAAGTGGAGGGTTTTTTCAACTAGGCTATCCCTGTCTTGTCAACTGGCCATAGAAGGAGCCTTCAAGGAGAAGGTCTGACAGAATGATGAGTTTCCCTCCATGAAGAAGAATAGCAACCACAAGGGCATACACTACTTGCAGCTTACTTGGTAATGCATCTTTAATGAGCAAATTGTAGTGCAAATTAATAAGGGACTTCCAATTAGCTGGCTGACAGAAGAATACTATGGAACCGGTTTCTTTTCTCCCCTAAACAAAATACATTTGAATGCAGAAACTTAGGGTACAAAGTAGTCATGACTAAAGAAAACTACTAATTCTTTTTGGATTACCTGGAACAGTATATTCTTCTTCTTTTTTCCCCTTTCACAAATCAAGAAATTACCCCAAAACTTGCACACATTTCAGATATGTTGAAACAACATTGCCAAGTCCCCTTAAAATAAAAATTACTGAGAACCCCCCCTTTAGAATTAAATACTATGTTATAGTTGCATAGCTCATAGTAAACAGGTAAAATAGTGGAGAGCGACAACGAGACAATAATGAAATCTTTGGTTACTTCTAATTCAATACTCTCTGGCTATCAAAAGATAAAAAGTCTTAGTAATTCAGGTGAAATATATTAGCTCTACTGACTATTATTGATTTTACAACGTCTCTTGGAATTCTTCAGAGTCGATGACAGCCTCACAGCGCCAAACAAAGTGACCCTACCCAAGCCTTTTCCAGACAAAATCACAGCCAACTGAGCCTGATTGTAGCAAGCTTTAATCAAAACAACGGGATCATATTTTTCTGTATAAGAGATTTCTAGCTTCTCCTTTCCGCTTCGCTAAATTAGTTAGCCTAGAATGCCCGAAATCACGTTCTAAATGCACCATCCCTATGAGAAATTATGACTTGAGTATCTTCCAGAGATAAGTCAACAATTGTTCACTTATCTGAAACAATTTATTCGTCTCTTAGGTGGCATTATGTTGAAAGCACAAGAGATTTGTTAAAGAGGGGTTCCTGTGTCATATAATTTTCAGCAACTACCCTGATAATAGCCACACAGTTCAAAGTTCACTTCTGCGTTGATTTATGATGAAGTTTGTCACCATCTCATCTAAATGATTAAGCTGATACAGAGAGCACACTTTTATTTACTTAATTATGTCTTCAACTCCCCACGCCCCGCCCCGCCCCGCCCCCCAACACCCTGTGTAAGCACGTGAAGTGTTTTTTGATAATAGGTGGTGGTGAGATGCAAACACAGGACCTCTGCCTACTTTGATACTATGATAAGAAATGGACTTTGGGTCTAACTCAACCCCAAAATCTAGCTCATGAGGTGAAGAATTGCCCAAGCCTATAGAAGGAGACCGAATCCACATTCCACAACCGATGTAGGGGAACTCAACAATCTACCAATTGGAGTGTGGACAACATAATATGAGGGCCGAACATCGCATAACCAAGAATTGTGATGGGCCTAACTCTGATCTATGTTGAAGTGTGTGACCATCTCATCTAAAAACTTAAACTTTTAGAGAGAGCATATTTTTATTTACTTAATTATGCCTTCAACAGTTTATATTTCTAGATGGATTATCAGTGATGTGTTATTGGAATGTAACATTTGTTCAATTTCACGAGGTCTTTTCCTCAACCATATACATCATTCACCTCTGTGAACAGATGCCAGAAACAGAAACAGAAACAGCATTTGCATAGACGAGAAAACTTTTACGACTTCTTTGTGCTCAATTTTGGATAAGGAATGAAACTAGAGGATGCACAGACAGTGACGCAGCGCAAGGAGTTTGCTCCTGCTGTATTTGTAACTCGCAGAAATAAGCAGAGAAGAAAAGAACGAGTCTTAAGAGTTATTTATTTATTTATTTTAAAAAGTCACAAGAGATATGTCACTAATATTTCGTTTTCACAAAAAATATCAATTTGATATTTTCAGGAAATCACAGCAGAGAAGGTTACAAGAGAAGTGTCATTAATATTCTTCTCGATTTCATGAAAATACTGACTTGATGATTTCAGGAGGTCACAGCAGAGAAGCGGTAGTCTGATCAGTCAGGAGTAAGAACAATCTCTAAGTTTTTTTAAGCATTAACCATACACTTCATTTATTACTTAAATCTAAAATCATTCCCTGACAAAGAGAAACATTGATGAGTGTTGTGATAGCACATATTTCTAGTGAACGAGATCCCACCCTTAAGGTATGCACTCTTTTTTGTACTTTTCACAAAATCATTTGTCCTTTTTTTTAACAATATCACGCCAACCTCTTTATTTTGTCGCAAAACTACTAAATGGTAGGTTTTGACATGTAAAAATTTCCAAAGACAAGAAGGGTCAGTGGGTTACTACCCAATAAAAACAAATTTCACTCTCTGTAACTCTAATAGCATCTCAAAAGTTAATCCATGTCTTCTATCTCTTTTCTCCCAATTGGATCTTGAATGCAGTGAAGGGTAATCGCGGAGAGAACAGATGATGATCTGGGTATAGATGTGGTGAAACTAGCTTTCTGGGGTAGTATTTCCACGTTAATCTTGTCAACATTTTGAGCAGATATAAAACAGATATACAAGCAAAAAGAGGTTATGGGAAAATGGAATGAAAAACGAGAATAGGAGGCAAAAGTGCAGCGGGTGCAAATATTTGGGTTGCAGAATGCAAAAAACTCTAAGAGAATTACTTTTAGTAAACATTCTGCAAGAGCCTTCACTAAGTAGATGTTTTTCTCCCTAAGTAGTAATATCTTCAGGAACTTTTTAAAACACTTTTTCTTATTTTGTGATAGTAGTTTATTTGCAGCAAGACATTTAGCGACCCTTTTAAGCAAGGAAAACACAATAGAGCCAATTTCTATACCTATTAAACTCCTCATCCATGATGCAGTGGAGTGTGGACCGCACCTCAATCTATGAAAGTCTTTCAAGGGTATATATATGCACATGTCAAGCCACTTTAAAGCATTAAGAAATAAGTTTACCAAATTGTGACAAGTTACTCTTCAGAAAAGACAAAAAAATTGTGGAACAAGCCTCATGGCGATCAAAATTAAACAGACCCTATTGATTTAACTTATAAATGCATGCATCAAATACAAACCTCGTATCCTATCCATGCAACTGAAGCAATGACAGTGATTGCTAATGCATTTGAAAATTGTCTGTAAATATCCAACTTCACAGAACTCCTCTTTGCCTGACGAAAACAAAATCTTGTGAGAATCAGATATTTTATGAGAAAAAGGAGATGAGACAAATGCAAAATGTATTTGTACACAAATTCAATACAAACAGTAAGATGATACCTGAAGCTGCTCCAGTGTCTTGGAAAGAGAAGTGAAAATCCATAAGATCAAAAATGCATCTAACAATGCATCAGGAAGAACCAACAGGACTTTTGCTCGCCCTGCAATGTCATTTATTGTACCAACGTATTCGGTAATGTTTAGCAGTATAGATGCCACAAAATAAGTTATTCCAAGAAGGAGCACCTTTGTGGTGAGACCACCAAGGGTAGGACGAACAACACCATATCCCATTGAGATAGAAAGAATAAGAAGGCGTGAAAAAGTTCTCCTTATAGCTCCAATTATAACAACCCAAGTCGTGAGTCCCACAGGCCTTGTACCAGTATTGTTGAAATAAGCATAATCAAAGTACCAAAATATCATTTCCAATAACCCAAGGGCAATAACCCCAGTGATGCAGTATTGGAGCGGCAGAACGTCCTGCCGGTATCTGACATACTGAAGACACCAGATTCCAGCGAGAAGTATATATGTTACGGTCATTATAGCATAAAACTTCATTAGGGGTGACATTCGACCAGGCAAATATCCCTCGGGATTTTTCCACACTGTCCTTCCAGACACCTTCATTCCCTTAAGCTTAGGATCACATGAGATGAAGAAGAGGTTATACATCCCAGTCTTTTTTATGTAAACCTCCTTCTTCTTCAATTGGGCTGATAACTGCCTTCCTCTAAAGTTAACATTCAACACCATCGGCCAATTAGCATCTGTTGCTGAAGGTGTTCTAATGACTTCCCCTTGTTTGCAACCTTCAAGTTTAGCAAGATCAGCGGTGCAACAAATGGACCTTTGTCCACCATATGGTGAACCACCAATATTGTCACGGTCTGCAGCCCCAAATATTATGATCTGAACTAACCCACTATTATATGCCATAGTTGGATTCCGGTTTGCAGCTGCTTTGCTCCTCCAAAATGTGATATTATCAAACCTATATATGTTCAAATTATCAGATACTAATGCAATAGGTTACAAACAATGTCACTGAGCCAAAAAAACTAACAGTGATAACTGTGGCTTGTTTTATTTTTCCCACAATCTAATCACAGAAAGTTGGTGCAGTTCACTATGTTCAGCTTTCTCTCAGACATATATTTTAGAAAAACCATTCTACTGTATTGTATCATATTTCCTGTTGACAGCATCGCTTTCCCACTCAAGCCATTATATTAGGCCTGCATTACTAATATAGCACTGATCAAGCCAGTCAAACAACTTCAATAACTAGCCCATAGCTAACTTAAAAATAAGATACTCCCTGTGTCCCATTTTATAAGGCACTCCAACTATTTAGGAACCAAACAATTTCTACATTTGATTATGATGTTTTAGACATTTCTAAATATTTTAACTATAGAGATCTGTGATTTCTACTACTTATATATAGCTTCTAATTAGTGATTTCTTTGTGTGCGGGGGAATTAACGTCTGAATTCACACCAAAAATGTGTATGTCTTGACTCTTGTACATTCTTTTGGGACTCTCATACTCCTTTTCATGTCATTCTTTTCGGGACAGAGGGAGTAGCTAATTTGCTCAAACTATTTTGAATTAACTCTAATCTTGACTCAACCTCCCAACTTCAGATTCAAGGAGAGAGAAACCCTGGCACCACGGGACCAGCTTGTTTGATTTGGCATCTCTTGGAGTTTTGTATTTGCAAGATTGTGCCTTCAGCATGACAACTCAAAAAGTCATCTTTCAGTTTCATTCCTTAAATCACTCCAACATCACAATAGATCATCAGGAAATTTGATAAAAAACATGCAGACCAAATATCAGTTTAGATCTGACCATTTTTTCCATAATATTTACTGGCAATCTCTCATATACATACATAAACCAGCAATCACTTATCAACCAGCTACCGGAGGTGGATCTAGGATTTAAAGTTAGTGGTTACGATGTACCTAACATATATACATTACAACAATGTACCAGGGCAGAGCTACTCTTGTCCAAGGGGAGTCAATTGACACATCTTCGCCGTAAAGTTACACTAAGTAGAAGGTCAATTTTTTCTTAATGTATATATACTATCTGTTGAATCCTCTGGTTTTTTCATGTGTTTACTTCTTTATATTTTGACTCCCTTTAGTGAAAGTACTGGCTCCGCCACTGACCATATATCAACCAGGTCAGTAGTTACAGAGTATATAACATACTATATACATTTGCAATGATGAATCAACCAGCTACAAAGGTGGATCCAGGACTTAACACAGTGCAATATTCCTCTTAGTATACAAAATTTTAAATTTTTCTTTAGATATTATACACACATAAGAATATTCTTTTTTAATAAAAAATGGTGACCGAGCTCAACTAATCTACAGTTACTGGCTACCTGATATAAGACAGTCCGTCGTGGGCAGAGGATCGAAATGAGCGACGCGGCGGAGGAATGAAGCGAGAGGCGGCGACGCCTTCACTGCCGCCGGAAACAAGGTAAGCATTTCCGACTTCTCTAAACGGATCTCTGTCGTAGATGTGAATTGAGGATTCTACTGATCTGAAGACTGATAGTAATAGTAGCTGTACTAGTACAGTGAGTAAGCATTGAACTGAAATAGTAGTGCCCATGGATGAAGGCGCAAAGCCAGCCGAAAAAATGAGAGAGAGGAGAGAGAATAGATCGGCGAGTTTGGTGGTGGTTAGAGTGAAGAGAGAGAGAGAGGATATCGGAAATTTTAAATCGGCTACCGGTGACGATGTTGGTTTTTACGCGCCTGTGAAGCGTGTGGTGCAAGTACTGGATCTGGCTGCAATTAACAAACGATGAGACGAGCGCTTAGCGGTTGTTGGCGGCTTATGCTTAAAGCAACGTACTCTCATTTCTGTGTGTTATTTATTGTCCAATTTTATGTGCTACAATTATTTTTTTAAGAGTTAATCTTTGTATATTTAAAAATAGTTAATTTGAAACTCCTCATTTCTCCTTAATAAAATAATTTATGACCGCATAAATACTTATAAGTTATTTTAGATCACAAATTTTAAATTTTTCTTTCTTAAACTTTATATTTAATCAAATATGTTATATAAATTGAGATGGAATAAGTAATATTTTAAAATTATATTATGATTATGATTACACGGGAATTTCTATTGTAAGTAACTTTTTTCACTAGAAGGGGGATTGGGAATAAAGAGTTGAAAATTGTTACGACCCAAAATCTCAACCCGTCGTGATGGCGCCTAACACACCAACTAGGCAAATCAAAACTTAATAATAAAGAGTCAAAACAACGTAAATGATAGAAATAGCATAAATTTGAAACCTTAATGTAACCAAATCCTGCCAATACAAGGAAAATCCGCCAGAAACTAGTAAATACGGAGTCATGAGCTCTACAAAGAAATACAAGTCTGAAACTGAACAATAATAATATTGTCTAAACTGTCACAACAGTATGTAAGGAAAAGATATGTCAAAACTGCAACCAAGGATGCAGCTCTACCTCGCCTCTCGAATTCAGTCCAACAAGCAAGCCTACTGCTGATGGCTGGTCCCCACACCTAAATTAGGACAATTAAGTGCAGAGTGTAGTATGAGTATAACCGACTCAGTATACTCAATAAGTATCGTAACTAATCTCGGTGAGGTAAAAGAAATATGAATTATAAATAATACTAGTTTTAACCTGTACAGTTTCATCATTTTTAACCAATATAGAACAATAATGAAATCAAGCCATAAAGCATAAGAAGAAGCATTTATGTGTTTATGTGTACAATTACTCAAATACTTTGTTCAGTCAATGTTCAGCATATAAATATGATATGCAGCTAAATCGGGTAATTAACCACGGAAATTGCAAGTAAAGATGAAAAGCAAAATCCAAACAAACACTAGCCAGATTTCCTCAACCTTTTCATATCTGTACCCAACCACTAATCAGTTTTTCTCAATATTCGCATGTACACCATCAAGAGAGAAATATGAGAGGGTGACCCTAGGGGGTGGATCCATATCTACACGCAAGCACGGCCAATTCAACGTGTTACTAGCCTGGTGTGGTCACATGCTTAATATCATTGCGTGGTCATAAGCATAATAGTACAATCCGCCTGGCATGATCACAACATCCAGTCCAATCATATCACACATAAGCAAATATATAAGAATATATGTATATGATAAATGAATAATAGATCTCATGCTTTTGGACTAGTATGAGTGACATGTCAAAGTGTAGGCATGTGCATAGTGTGCTATCATAGCTCAATCCGGTTATTTTATCACAGAGATAACAATTATCAAGTTCATTCTGTGATTTAGCCTCAAAGTGGCCTCAAACATGGTCAGATAGTTCACAATAATGTTACAAATATGAGAAACATCATAGCTTAAAGCTTAACAGTTAATTCTAGGCATATTATAGCCTAAGCATAACCCGAGCATGGAAAAATATCCTGGTGTTAGCACATGGGCTCAAAACCTCATACATCTACGCACTCATAGCATGTAGCTATCACAAATAATTCAGGCAACTAGTGCCTCAACCAAATTTAGATAAGATATTTATCTCAAGCAAGCTAAATTACTCCTCAAACAAACCCTTCCTATATGTATCAACCTCTGGAAGACTCGAATCTAGCCAAAATAGCGTAATACTATCAATAAAAGCCATAGAAATTGATTCCAAATGATAAAACTAAGATCTTTAACCAAAATCAAAAAGTCAACCACGAGCCCATACCTCGAAATCTAACGAAATTCACAAATTCCGAACACTCATTCAATTACGAGTTCAACCATACTAAAATCATTCAATTTCAACCACAAATCGACCCTCAAATTCTCAAATTTCACTTCCCAATAACATAGTCCAAAAATTCCCAAATTCTACCTTAGATTCATGAGAAATAGGTGAAATAATCAACGGGTATTCAATATTCATGGACAAAAGTGATTGAAAGTCAGTTACCTCTTTAATCTAGGTGGAAACCTCTCCAAAAATCGCCTTAGTCTGAACTTCAAAATCCCAAAAATGAGAAAAATAACTAAGCCCTTCTATTTTAAATCACTGTCAGCGATCCCGCACCTGCGGACAAATTGATCGCACCTGCAATTCCGCTTTTGCAGAAAATTCACGCTTTAGCGAAGTCCACTAAGGATCCCGACCTGCCTCTTCTCCGGCCAAAGCTCCGCATAAGTGAGACTGCTTATGTGGCCCCTCACCCGCTTCTACGAATCCACACCTGCAGATCGCCTACCGCATCTACGACCAACGCCAAGCTTAGCATACTCTGCACTTGCGAACCTTTCATCGCAGAAGCGCTTTCACTTCTACGGAAACATCCTCACATCTGCGGTCCTCCCAAACTTCACTCATCTTCACACCTGCGACCTGGCCGCTTCTGCTGCTCCGCACCTACAGTCAAAACCTCGTAGGTGTGGTTACACCAGAACTAATGCCAATAGCCTTTCCATAAGTCCAATTTCCAATCCGATTTCAACCTGAATCACCCTTGAGGCCACCGGGACCCCATCCCAATATACCAACAAGTCCTAAAATACGATACGAACTTAGTAGAAATCTCAAATCACATCAAACAATATAAAAATCACGAATCGCACCTCAATTCAAGATTAATGAAACTAACGAACTTCCAACTTCTAAAACTAATGTCGAATTATATCAAACCAACTCTGATTGACCTCAAATTTTGCACACAAGTCATAAATAACACAATAGGCCTATTCCAACTCCCAGAACCAAAACCTGAGCTTGGTATCAACAAAGTAAACTCTCGGTCAAACTTCTCAACCTTCCAAACCTTCAACTTTCTAACTGTCTCCAATTCAAGCCAAAATGACCTACGGACCTCTAAATCAATATCCGGACATACTCCTAAGTCCAAAATCACCATACGAAGCTATCAGAACCCTCAAAACTCCATTTCGGAGTCATTTACATATAAGTCAATATTCGGTAGACTCTTTTAACTTAAGCTTCCAACCTTGGGACTAAATGTCCCGATATACTCCGAAAACATCCCTGAAACCAAACCAACTACCCCACCAAGTCACGTAACCACAAGTGAACATAGAATAAGCAATAAACAGGGGAATGAGACTATAATACACAAGACGACTAGTTGGGGCGTTATATTCTCCCCATCTTAAACAAACATTTGTCCTCAAATGTATCTAGAATCATACCTGGGGTCTCACATAGGTGTGGATATATGCTCCATATCTCCCGCTCGGTCTCCTAAGTAGCCTCCTCGGCTGGTTGGACTCTCCATTGAACTTTCACTGAAGCTATACTTTCGAACCTTTTGATCCAAAATGGTCACCGGCTCCACATTATAAGTCAAATCCCCATCTAATTGAACCATACTGAAATCCAATACATGGGACGGGTCACCATAATACTTTTGAAGCATAGAAATATATAACACTAGGTGAATACCCGATAGACTAAGTGGCAATGCAAGCTTGCATGCCACCTCTCCAATCCTCTCAAGCACCTCAAAAAGGCTAATATACCGGGCTCAACTTGCCCTTCTTCCCGAACCTCATCACACCCTTCATCGGTGAAACTCTGAGCAATACCTTCTCTCCCACCATATATGCAATATCACGAACCTTCCCATCAGCGTAACTCTTCTACCTAGACTATGATGTACGAAGCCGATCCTGAATCAACTTGACTTTCTCCAAGGCATCCCAAACCAAATCGGTACCCAATAACCTAGTCTCTCCTAGCTCAAACCAACCAACTGGAGAACAACACTGTCTCATATATAGAGCCTCATAAGGAGCCATATGAATACTCGGTTGGTAGCTGTTGTTATAGCCAAACTCTGCAAGTGGTAGAAATTAATCCTAAGAACCCTCGAAGTCCATAACATAATGCATAGCATATCCTCCAAGATCTGAATGGTGGGCTCGGATTGTCCATCCATCTAGGGGTAGAATGTTATACTCAACTCAACCCATGTGCCCAATTCTCGTTGTACTGCTCTCCAAAATTGCAATGTGAACTGCGTGCCCTGATCTAAAATAATGGACAGCGGCACACCATGAAGACGAACGATCTCGCGGATATAGATCTTAGCCAGCTACTCTGAAGAATAGGTGGTCACAACCGGAATGAAATGTATGGACTTAGTCAATCGGTCCACAATTCTTCAAAGTCCGTAGCAGCCCAACAACGAAATCCATGGTAACACGCTCTTATTTCCACTCGTGAATCTTAAGTCTCTGAAGCAAACTACTTGGCCTTTAATGCTCGTATTTCACTTACTAAGAGTTCAAGCACTGAGCCACATACTCTATTATCTCTTTCTTCATTCTTCTCCACCAATGGTACTGCCTCAAATCCCGATACATCTTAACAACACCCGGATAAATGGAATACTGTGAATTGTGGTTCTCTTCAAGAATCAACTCACGTAACCCATCCACATTGGGCACACAAATTCGACCCTGAATCCGCAACACCCCATCATCTCCAATAGAAACCTCCTTGGTATCACCGTGCTACACCTGTCCTTAAGGACAAGCAAATGGGGGTCATCATACTAACGCTCCTTGATGCGCTCATACAAGGAAGACCAAAAAACCATGCAAGGAAAAACCCGATTAGGTTCCGAAACATCTAACCTCACGTACTGATTGGCCAAATCCTGAACATCCAATGCTAGCAGCCTCTCACCAATTGGACTATATGCAAGGCTACCCATACTCTTCGCCTTTCTACTCAAGGAATCTTCCACCACATTGGCCTTCCCGGGATGACACAAAATGGTGATATCATAGTCTTTTAACAGCTCTAACCACCTCCGTTGCCTCAAATTCATATCCTTCTACTTAAACAAGT